GAGCCCAGGAGTTGGAGGTTGCTGTGAGCTGTAATGCCATGGCACTCTATCCAGGGGGACAGCTTGAGGCTCTGTCTCAAAAAAAAAAAAAAGAGTTCAAGTGAATAGTGGTGAAGGCTTACAGTGAAATGGTTACTCTGGCAGTTTGTATGGCTGCCAAACTGTGGAGGAGACAAGAGCTGAGGTCATTTCTAAAAAGTTTCTGTGATGGTACAGAACAAGCACAGAACTTTCCTAGCTGCACCAAAGGTTGTGTACAGTTTAGATAATTATAGATCTTGAGGTCCAGAAGGAAGTGCCCTAGTTAAACTGTAGCCAGAAAAATTAACTATGCCAGGAATGTGGACCTCTTCCAGTATCATGACAGGGAAACTTGGGCTCCTCTCTGGCCTCCACAGGGCCGGTGCTGTTTAATTGTGTCAACTGACACCCACCAAACTAGGGTTAATTCCTACCAGGTGTGCTGAAGTATTTGTTCTGAAACTACATTTGCAAGAAAGTACTTAATCCAAATGCCATTTTCCCACAGAGCTCCATGCTGAAGTCCTATCTGGGATGCTTCAAAATGGTTGCACTCATTACATGCGAAAGATCATTCTGAGCATGCTACAGGGATTATCTCATTTAATTTTTACAACAAATTCTGAGTCCATACAAACTGAAGAGTTAGGTATCTGTGTTCAAAACTGCTCTGCCACTTACTAGCTGTGTAACCTTGGGCATGTTATTTAGCCTGTCTTGACTTCCCCATCCACAAAATGGAAATACTGCTATAAAGCACTATAAAGCATGCTTTATATTAGGATGTTTTGTGGCAGATAAAATGTACTATAAATGCCACTTACAAGTGGCAAGCTTTCTAAGTTGTAGGCAGTAACAATGATTGGGGCTGACTTCCTCCAGCAATTTCTGGCAGTATTCCTGAATAAAGAGCTGGGGGAAAGGCCAGGAGTGAAGACACCTTCAGATCTTTGTAATTGACTCTAACATTTGAGTCTACAGGTAGACTCCCAACAGATGGGAGCCCATGCTTCATGCCATCGGCCCTGAGCTCACCACACAAAGATGGTACCCATTTGTGCTCCATTGTAAATGCTCCCAACAGGGATTCTATCCCCCACCCAAAAGCCACCACCTAAGACTGGGATAGGAAGAAGGCGCAAACACCAAAAGGAAAAGCTAGTAGTTTATATAGATAGATATATAGATATATCGATATTGATAGATAATTGTGTTTACATAGTCCACAAGTTAAATGCAGGTATCCATAAGAAGAGCATTAACAATAAAAATACAATCTGTGTGTAGCCAAGTACAGAGACTTAAAATGGTAAAACAGCAAAAAGGATTTCACAAAAGTACAAATATACAGTACAAATTGATTTATTTAAAACAGTTACAAAAAAGCACAACAAAATAGAGATTATCCTTAGAATTATTAATGCTTTGTTAAAGATCAGGTAGGATTAGAGGGTAAGAAACGGTGTTGGGTGGGGGAGCACCTGACTAGTTCTAAGGCTTTAGATACAATGCAGTTGATTACATATTAATTCAGCCATTACATACTGGGGATAGTAGTTGGGGGATCAGTAATTTATCTACAGGGAACTCCTACACAAATCAGATCCAACCAGACCTCCCCAGTGCCATCCTCCTCCACTCTGTAGAACCCTAAAGCCACCTAGATGACAACATTCCCATCCATCTTTCTCCACCCCATTCCCTATTCACATATTCTTCCCTCTCCTAAGGTGCTGTGCAAGCTGAGAGCAGTCTGCTCTCTGCAGCTGGAATAGATACTGTTTTGGCTACAGGGATCCTGTGTGACTAAGAAGGTTATTGGGGACAGCCTTATTTTAATACTTCAAGTTAGTCATGAGTATGGTCTCTTCCCCAACACAATCTAGATTCTCTTGAATGCAAGTATCAGCAAGTGAGGGATCAACCCTGCCTTCAGCAATACCAGCAACACACTAACCACTCACAGCTCACAAATACGTGCAAACTCCCTGTCCAGGGGGGTAGGTGTAAAACCACTGTGTCATCACCGCTCTCGCTCTCTCTGAAGAACCTCGGTCCCCATGACAGTCATAAAGACAGAAATAAATGCAAGTTTGACAACAGGTAAAGGCACATGGGCTGCTGCCACACACTGCAGACAGGAACCCAATCTGAGGCCATTTTCACTGCTGGGCATTTGCAGTGGAATGGCTTTCGGGGTCACACAGACTGGGTTTGTAATCTACCAGGGAGGGATTTAGGCTTAACAGGAGACTAATAAAGAAAACTTTAGTGTGAAAAGTGCATTTATGACTACTGTTCCTGCTGGGGAGGCAGTAGGACAAACCACAACACCTCTCTTCCTTCCGCCCCAGGCACTGTGCATAGTCTGCAGGTAAGGAGAGAGTGCAGTCAACTTCAGCATCTCAAGGGCCAATGTCATCCTAGGCCCAGACTAGGCTTCTGATCCAAAGAAGGATCCTAGAGTTGAAAGAGCAACTGACAGCTGCAAAGACCCAGATGATTATTTTATTATTGCATAATGCAGGAGACCTTCCCTACTCCAGGGAGCTGGAGGATAAAGGCTTCCCAGCAAAGGGTTAATAGGTTCCTGATCAATATCCAACCTCCTAAGTTTCAGCTCTTCAACTGTAGTGTACACTTTTTCCCATCTGCAAGGTACTGTAGCTTCAGTGTGGTTTAGTAAACTTAGTCGGAGGAGGCCAAGATGTCGCTGTAAAATTTGACCTCTGTCCTATTTACTTTGTTTATATGACTGTGACCTAATCTCTCACGGCCAATTCAATTATTCAGGTTATCTTTACTCCAGTGGAGCCAGGCTCTTTGCCAGCCAACCCATGTCCACTTTCACCTCCAGTGTGAAAACGCAACTCTTCGATATGCCTGCTCGTTGTAGGTCTAAATCACACCACCATCCTGTGGTTCTCCTTAAATCACTTATGATGCCCACTTGTAAAAATAAAATTAAATCCTACTTGAAGAGCTATTTCAGCCAAACTTCAAGTCCTCTCCCAACTCCAGAGTCCATGTCACTGGAACTAGATGAACCTTGCTGGGATATGGCCCTAATTTCCCCTTCATTTAGTTTTTAAAACAGGATACAAGATACCATAAAGGAAAGAAATTACTACAGAAAACACGATTAGGACCTCTTGTCTCCTTCAAGATAGACATTTGGAGTCAAAGGGCTCTTGACAGCACTGAAGCCATATCCCTTGGGATTTGCCAGTCCATCAGCAGCATTTCATACCATCCCTGTTCAGTATGACTTTGCCATAAAATAACACTGGCACAGCACAGTTAAGAATGAA